CGACTCGGTTGATGCGCCGTAATTCTCATCAACTACCCGGTTGCGAGACACATCTACATTCTGGAAATGTGCATCACATGAATATAGCAGGGACGCAACACGCAGTAGCTTACAGTATTTTATATTGACGCTAGACCTATCACAGCCTGCCATCATCCAGTCGCTCACAAGTCCTCCCAATCCCCATGGACCGATACGCCTTGAAGAAAAAGTATATATATATATAAAGCCAGAGTAAAACAGAACGCTCATGTTAACCATGTTTGACAAAAAACAGGCCGTTTAGGGATTCTCGTTTCGACATGTAAAGATCTCTCTTTTCACCAGTTCCCAACTCGATGAGAAAAAGAAGAAAAAGACCCAAAAAGGTGCTCCCAAGTTTCTCCGTCCCTAGCCCTCTGTGGATGCAAAATCGTGAGGATGCGCCTAATTGAAAATAATACCAGGAACCATATAGTTTCGCCTGCCCTCCCAAGGAGGTTTCCATTCCCAACGCCATGCAAAAACTAAAATGAAAGATTTTTTCCTTCTTGGGGATTTGGATTTTTCCCCCTCAAGATTGAGAGGTTGTTAGTTATGAGTTCTGTGCTCCTAATTGCTGTTTGGGTGAGACTATAGTTGAGGGTTATGAAAAGGATGCCTGTGTCCCAAGTGGTTTCTTGTCTGTTCGTTGAGAGGTTCGAGGCAGAACAAGTGTCGATCCAGGGCGTGTTGGTAAGAATCTCGTATAGCTTATGAATGTGTTGTCCGGTAGCCCGTACCAATACGTGTAATGATGATATTCACGGTGAAAACGTATGATTTGCCAGAGAAAAGTGAAAGTCGGCCTTTGCGACAATCACGCCCAAGTCCAAATTTGGGGTCATTGGCTCGGCCGTTCTGCTCATGGCTCTCCCCTAGCGTCTGCCCATCTTGAGCAGACGAGTCCGAAGCCACAACATGAAGGCGGTCCAGACGCCCATGGTCTTGTGCTTGGCGGTTTTGGTTCTTTTTGGCGACGTGAAATGTACCTCGTCGGCCCTGGAGGGAGCCGTTTGCCCACCGTGCGTGCTGTTGTAGCCGAAAGAGGAAAACTCTATCTTCTCGCGGCTGTCTTCCGACATTGCGCCGCGCTTTCTTGAGGAGGAGATTCGGAGGTCGGTGCCGCTAGACATAGTGCTGCTCGAGACGCTGCCGTGACCCGCGCTGCCTTTGCGAAGCCGAGTATGTGACTTTTCAAGCTTGTGTGCCTCTTTGGTTTCGGCACGTTCTCGTTTACGAAGCTGCTCCTTGGCATACTTCTCGTCCTTGGCGCGCTCCTTGGCCTCGAACTTGCGGCGGGCTTCACGGACCTGCTCCTGGTGAGTGAAGGTGTCCACCTCGCTTCGGGAGCGCAGACGGAACACGCCGATTTCGAGCGAGCTGCGCAGCGGCGACAGGGGCGCAGCCGAGGTTGAAATTGCACTGGCCTGGGTCTGTGTGGAAGACAGCATTGTGCCAGCAGTTGCCAATGGAGCGGTTGATGAGAGGGGGGAGTCGACGGCCAGGGAAGACACAGCGCTGGAAGCCAGTTCCGACCTGCTCTGATTCAGAGACGGGGGCGCCAGCGGGCGAGTCGTGCCCGAGTTGGATCGAGGAGCAGGTACCCGCGTTGTCTGGGTTCCATCCGAAAGCGAGCTGGTACGCTGGCTGGCCATGGAAGGGCGGCGATGGTTAGGATGCTGGTAAAAGGCGGACTGGTACAGCGCTGGGCGAGGAGCGGTGGAAGCAGAGTGGAAGGACGAGTACGGATCGACGTCGGCGTCGTCCTCGGTGATGGTGGGAGAGTAACCGGTTGGCACGCCGTTCTCGAAGGAAGTCCTCGAGTTGGCATAGGACAGTGGAGGCGTCGAGGCATGCGGCTGCTGCTGGAAGGGGTGGACGAAGGTGCCGCCATTACGGCCGCTGGTGGTAGTTGCAATGGACGAGGTGTGCGAGTTGCCGCTTGTTGATCGAACATGGGAGTACTTGGAGCGCGGTGCCACGCCCAGGCCGGAGCCCGTCATGTCGGATGCGGACAAGGAGAAGCTCACATCGCGGGCGGATCTGGCACCGTGACCGTTTGGAATCGAGTACTGATAGGATCCGTCGCTGTCGTAGGTGCCAAAATCAGGGCCGGCGGCAAGGCCCGGCGACGGCTGGTCGTCCCAACCACGGTCGAGGTCGAGCGACTCACGCTCCGAGTGGTGAGAGTGCAGCTTCTTGAGGATGGGCTTGACCACAGTGCGACTCCGCGACTTGGAGATCTTGCCGCCGGGGTGAGTAAAGCTGCCCGGATGAACCTGCGTGGAGGCCATGGTGCCGGCGGGCAATCGAATGATGGGACGAGGTGAGGCGAGCTGCCCTGAGGGGGGAGGGCCGGCTTATAATGAATCCTGGCGCGGATTGTTGTTGTCTTCGCAGCCGTGGCCGCTGACGCTTGCCTGTTGTTTTGGTACGTGTTCGGCCAGGCCTCGCATACGGGGCACCAAGTACCGAGTATCGAGTACCGAGTACAGAACACACGGCGTACGGACTACACCAGTTGACTTCATCCAACTCTGACGGCGCAGCCACTCACGCCATGCCTCCTTCGTTCCTCGCTGCTCACTGATCAGTCTGCAGTCCCTCGACTTGTTGTTTAGAGTGGTACAACGGCGTCGATAAACAAGACACAAAGCATTGGCCCCTTGGGTCGCAAACAATGCACGATGCGATTGATGGGACGGCCGACGTCACACACACTGGGCGAGGACAGGTCGACGACGTCAGGACAAGGACCGAGGATGAGAACCAGGACGACAGCGAGATCTTAAAGCAACACCAGCACACGACGGCTAGCCCGGATGGAGAGGCAGACGAAGCACTAATAAGGACTGGAGGCCACAACAAACCGACGAGACTGGGACGCCACCGAGTCCCCCCCAGGTTCCCGCGGCCCAGCTGCGCCGTGGTTGAGCATGGGGGCCTCCGGACAAGGACAGGGGATGGAAATTGAAGGGAACTAATGCTGGAACTGGGCGCACGCTCAGCGCCATCGCCGCCACTACTCCGGACATGCGCCGCACAGAGGGTAGCTGGCCACACACATCAAGCACAGATGAGGAACGGGAGCAAGGCGAGCTCACCCGCAGCAACGCACCCTGGCCGCTTACGACGGCTTGTGCGGCGAAGCGGGTGTTTGGTGAACAACAGATTGGATAGTGCCATGGACTGCCAAGACGAGGATAGCATTCACGACCGGGTTCAGCCTCAGAGGACGCGACCACGGCACGTGGACGACGACGCTGACGGCTATCAGTCAAATCTGTACGGGAGCAAGTCGAATGGGCGTCTTTGGTCCAAAGAGGTGGGCAATGTCTTATCCCTCTCCTGTTTTCAGAAGTACGGAGTCGGTATTCCTCGCATTCGCCTAGCAAATGTACTCCGTCGCTGATCCCACGGTCTAATTAAACACGGAGATACTCCGTATTTTTGGATGGAATCTTCATTAACACATCAAGTGGAGAGACAACGAAACCAGGCTTCAGGTCAAAAGAAAAAATCTGCCCTGGACAAGCATGAAGATCGCGTCTTCTCACGAGTTATTACTATTGCAGCGGCAAATATATCTCAAAATGAAGCCCAAATCTCAGGATTGATGTCACTATGGAGCAGTGAGCCATTGATTCGTCGCCCGGGCTCGCCGTTGCAGGTTCTAGAGTCTTGGCCCTCATCTTGGTTCTGTCTCCTAGCACGCCTCGAGCCACAAATGATGCCTTCTGTGGAGCAGCAAAAGCGTCCCATGAACCTGCGATGGCCTGGCAGATGGGTCCGTCTCATTTGACTTTTGGCTTGAAGCGTAATTGCTCCTGCGTACCGAGCCACGCCGTATGGATGTAGACCTCATCTCGCGACGCGCATTGGATTCCGTAGCTTCTGCTGCTTCCGTAAGAGTCGGAATTGGACAGTGCAAGACGGAGAGGACGCAATAGGGGGTACGGAGCAATATGCCCCTTGTTTCCCTTGGAGTCGTCTTCCGCCGCCTGCATTACGGAGGGGATTTGCGCTATTCTGTCACAAGACAAACCTGCATACGGAGTGCACGGGGTACCAAGTCAGTAAAGGAGTCGCTGGAAAGAGACGCAGGCACACACGTTGCGTCGGCCGTCTCGTCCACAGAGTCAACACATCTCAACTCGTTCATGTACTCCGTGCTTCCAGACTACGATGATGAGTTGACCACGCTCGGGGCGGCGTACATACATGCATACGGAGTACGGGGTATGGCAACAATGCAGGGATGCGATTCTGCTCACCGTTTCGTTTTCCTCTTGTTGCGTTTCGACCCCCTCCCCGTCGCCCCGGCCACCGGGCCCGATCTCTTGACAACTAGGCATCAGAATTGGTGCTAAGACTCGGTCTGGTTAGTTGGCATCCAGAGTTGTGGAATATCCGGCCAAATCCGCACGGCGGTAGTGTATGATATAGTTCTCTTGGACCATCTATTCGTCATGGTGAGCTTGTTGTCCCGCAGACGGAAAACATAAACAGTGGTAGCCTGGTGAAGGCGAAGGCATGAAAACGCTTCCGGCTGCTGCGTTCCTCAGCAACTGCAGATTGTGGCGTTTGAGGAACCAGGAAATGGATGGTGACACCAGGCTCGGCAGCGGCAGTTTCTGATGCAGCGGTCTGGAGTCCCCGTCCTGTGCAGCAAGACATCAGTCTCAACAGTCTGTTTTGTCGAGGTTTTGGAGCCTTCAGATGGCGTCCCAACCAAATTGGACTTGTTACGAAGAATGAAGGGATCTCCTGGCACCGAGAGTCGTTTGTGCCACTGCTCTTGTTTGACTCTTGCCCGCCCCTGCCGTGCTTCTCTCCACATTGTTGCATCTTGAACATCTTCAATACAACACTCTCGTGGCATCGGCTTTGTGGGCGCGCAAGACGTCAACTCCGTACAAAGAACCTATCCCAAAGATGAAATATTTGGTCCTTGTCCACCAGTGTTTGGCACCGCCGCAATGGCCGCCTTGATTGTCTTTGAAACTACACAGTATCCATCCGCTGAGCCGCGGTTTGCATTTCTTGCCGCCTGCGTGGGCAGTTTGCCATGTAAGTGTCACGTCCTACAAATGGCGCATGTCATTTTGTTGGATATATTTACTATTCCCTTGGCAGATACGCTCCACAGCTACAACTCCACAGATAAGGCATGGCAGAGCGCCTCATTACTACGCAGAGGGCTGATATCGAGCGGCGAGGCGAGCAATCGCATGATGCACCTGAACTGAAGCACAACCCGCGCTACTACGCATTTGATCTCGAGATAACAAGGCATGCCTGCGGCTATGGCCATGGCGAGAAAGCCCATCTATCCATGGTCTACGAAAGGGCGCAGACGTTTTGATGTTATTCGTTTTATCGCTCATGCAACGGACACTGGTGACAATCTGTCAGGCTCTGACTTTCAATATCTATCCATTTGGATCTGCAAAAGTGATGCAGACTTGGTGTGACTTCAAAAGGTCAGACATTATCAGGCTTACTGAAAGAATGAACCACAAGAAGATTTCATCCGGCTGATGTCCTTCCCAATCTGGGGGAATACCAAGAAGTACTTCTCCGCATGTACGTACGCATGACTAGTTTATTCATCCACTCACAGTTGAATGATGAGGGGCGGTAGAGAGGCTCGGCGTAAATAGGTCCTGCTGAGCCAACATCTCCTCCATCCCTCGGTGGATGATTTGCTATTTATGGCCGACTGCGAGCGACTACGTAACTAGCCTCGTCACCATCGCATCTATGAACATCAGACAACATGTTTCCCTAGCCAGCCGTTGCGTCGCGGGACGGGCCAAAACAAAAAAGGGCTGAGACACCGCCGGCAGTCAACGCATCCCCATACAACACGTCTCGTCCATGGCAATATCAGCATGGCTCTGGCGATAGCATGAGCAAGACAGTCTGCGAAGCCTTTGTTTGCGGGCTGCCCATTCGACATCGCGTGGCTCGCCTTGCACAGCATTGCAAATGCCTCATCCGAGTCCAACGTGGTGGCGAACAACCAACACATTCAGCCCGCCGCGCCTCATTCGGTGTTTTCCTGAGTCGCCGACTTGCAGACCACCCCCAACATGGTTATTACCCCTCCTTTGCGCAAGGCGCCGCTTGGCTACGCCATGTTCCTTTGTGGTTTTCGTCGCGCCGTCAGTGCGACTGGCGTGGCCGACGCCGGGAACAAAGAGGGCCGACGGAAACGACGGGCCCGGTTGGAAACCAAAGGTTGCTCCAGCTGAAAAGTGTGAGGCCGTTGTATTGTATATGTAAGTCGGTCCTGGTGCGTTTCAGAGCATGTAAGTTACTCCCCTACTTTTTTTGGGAGGTGTCAAGGTGATATTGGGCTGAGCTGGAGGCAGCTGAAGGGCGCGGTTCCGGACACTCGGTACGGCCAATCCAGTAGAAGAGAGGTGCGGTTGAAATCTGGTATTGATTGCCTTGGTTCTAGTGACGGGTAGATTTATCGTGCCCCGAGTGTTTTATAGTTAGAATTGATGTGTTGGGCACGTCTCGCCGGCGTACAAATCGCAAAAGCACACGTCGAGACTTGCAACCAAGTCCATGGCGCGAAATAAGCACCATTGTCGCCCGGCACACTACACATGTCGTAAATTCAGATATCAAGTCCCCGGGGACGAGGCCGCACTTTGCAATACGCCCGCCCGCCCTCCCAGAATAGCGCCTTGCGCGTGGCGCAGTTTGGCGATGATCTGGATGCAGCCTTGTTCCGATACATGGTTGCGGGCCACGGCTCCTTGGCCACCTACCATTAGTCGATATTGAAGAATACTTTTCTTTTCCCTCATCTTTGCCGGTTGTCAGTACTGTTGTGGAAGTTGCAACTCTATAGTAGAGTTGCTGTGAGAGACGTACATGTCTGCATCTTTGGCCTACACAGCGGGCGGGCAAGGCCCTTGTTCCTCAACAGGTGTTTAATGAGAAGACGCAACTTGTCTCGAACCAGCATCGGGTGAAAATACACATTGTGGCCTGCGTGCTTTTATGATGCGCGGCACTGGGCTACGTGGCTGGATTTGGTGTTGCGGCTCTTGTTGAGGACACTTTGGCTGGATATATGGACATCAAAGCCGCATAATTGGCCTTAATTATTGCGATTATGCGAATGTCGAGTTGGGATGCTTGGACTTTGTTTGGCTGAAGAGTCTGATGGATTTACTGCTCTAGGGTATTTGACTTTCGCGGGCTGCATACCGTTGAAAGATCTGTAAACACTACTCGTGGATGGGAATCATGACCCTGAACAGCAAGATGTTCATATCAGTCATTGAATCGAAAGAGATGGATGGGAAAATAAGCAAGCCAACGAACTCAAAGACAAGGCACAGAGCCAGTGTCACTTAATATTGTCTCTGGTCATTGTGGCAGAGGGAGATGTAGTATTTAGAACATAAGTGCCGGTTAACTTGCCCTTGTTGCGACGTTGCTGCAATCTTCTAAACCAACGGCTTTTCGTTTCTCAAGGACTTGAATTCGCTCATTGAAGAGGGCAAGTGGCTGTATTCTAAGCGTCAGACACAAACGACGGGCAAGGCCGAATCCCTGCTGGGAACAATCGTGGTGAAGTCTATAGTATGTATTGGCCCTGTAGCTCAGCTGTGTGGTCCCATCTCCCAGGCCATTTATCTTCGTGTCCAAAGTGTTGATTTGCTGGTTTCTGATGCCCAGTTGCTGTGACTATTGGGCAAGCAATCACTCGCCTACACCGTAGTTTATTGATGGTATACCGACTGGAACACGCGACCTATAAACACTGCTGTGTAAATCAAAACCATGACCTTGTGAACATAGTAAGCTTCGTGAACGTACAGACAAAGTCGGCAGAGGTGAGCTGCCTGCCATGTGAAGAACCGCTAACATTAGCGGCTTATACGTGCAGTATATGAATCGCCTTCCCTTCTTCTCCAAGGTTTCCCTGCTAATTGTCAGTTTTCATGTCAACTTGTCATTATATCGGCAAGAGTTGAGCTCGTGTAAACCTACCCTATACGAGATCAAGATCAAGCCATCATCAGACTAAGATCGAAGCGGCTATTAGATTCTGTGCAAACCTCAGACGCCTCAGTCTGAGGGCGAAAATATTGATGCTGACTATAATAATAAATTGAGTTGCTTGCATTTGAATTATCATGGGAGAAGATATTATAACATCTCGATTACCTCATGATCTTGCAATAAATAGAGGCAATAATACATCAAGTATGCATCCTCTATGCACGACATATGCACCAGGTTATCTCCATCACTAGCTTCGGATTGAATTCTGCAGAGCTCGGTTTACAGGCCCGCCACAGTTTCCTTGATGCGTAGAGATCTTCCCTGACCAAACTCTATACTTGTTGCACTGCATGTCGGGACACATCTCGGCATATATCCTTGCCGGCCCTGAACTTACAAAAACTGGAACGCCCGTTGAAGATGCTGAGAGAGGGAGCGAGGGATATATAACAGGGTTGGAAATGACGAGAGAATTCAGTACAATTGAATCAACCCAATTGAAATACCACTTCTGCCTTGTTCTCGATAGCGCATATAGAAATATCAACTTGCAGAGATGATGACTTCTCAGACCAGTGATTCAGGGAGATATGTATCGTAGATTTACTGCTTGTTTAATGATTCATGTAGAGAGATGAGGTTTCAACAAAGTCCGTTGGATGTCAATCGCGCATTTGCAGTTCTTTTGAGTCCGTTGCAGCTTTATCCTGTGCCAGAGTCTCATGAGCGTGCCAAAGTCTGATTCACCACTGATATTCCGCCGGGGCATCCATGTCAACGCAGCATGAGTGCCGATCACAGACTTCACTAGACATGAGCCGTTTCAACTACCATCGATGCAGGTTTCTGCATTCATTCTTCCCGTTGTCTCTTTCGTCAGTTTCTAGTGCATCTGCCGGGGTTTGTCTGCTAGATACAGAAGTGAGCCGAGTGAGATTCTCCTAAACGGCCAGGATTAGCCAGCTGAACCCTGTACCACTTTCTTTCGCACGCTGCAGGTACGGAATACGCGTGTTGACTCAAGTCTCTGACACGATTAGCAGTCCGAATCTCAGTCTTTGTGGATACTGGAAAGGAAGTCGAGAGCATGAGATTTCTCAGAAAAAGAAGCCGGAGCCCGACAAATCCGATTGACGGTTTCGTGGCAACCAACTTGCAGCTTAACCACAGATCATATCCACCGTAGGAGAAGTAGAGCACATCACCTCACCAGATGAACTGCGGAGCTTCATCTCACCTGTAGTGCTTACGAATTAAACGCATTCAGAAAGTAGCTTCCGCAGCCACAGCCTTAGCATCCACGATTGTTCTGTGACCAGAGCTCTGCAATGAACCAAAGGTCCTCACCCTCAGTTTGAGGTGGCCAGGTTGCGAAAGGGTGCACAGCTTCGGCTGTCTGTGTCCTGAGGATGCAAAAAAGAACCAGTTCCTGAGCCCGGCCCCAAAGCGGCTATCAAGAGACTGCCCAGGAAAGACTGCTGATTATCCGGCAAACCCTCATGTCCAACGCATAATCACGGAAACTGCGTGCCAGCCAGGCAGCCACACTAAATGGAATTGGGTCAGTGTAGAGTCAATTTGAGCGTTTTCATGAGCCTGGTCCTATTGAAGATCTTTGCTGGCTTCACCATGGACTTAATTAGTACAGAATGATGGGACTGGCTGAAGTACGTACATCAAGTTGACATCATTTATAAGTCATCTGAATTCACTAATACACAGCCAACTATTGCCCATCACTGAATGGGAAGTACTGTATCCCAAGCGAGGACAGGTTGGTAAAAATTTCCCATGTATACATACTCATGAAAGCGCGCCAATAAAGCCCGACTGCGTATTAAGATGGCCAGAGATAATATTTCAGCTTCACGAGGTTATGGAGACCATGTGGTGTTCTCAGTTGTTCTCCTTACGACCAAGTGACTAATTTGGTAGCGACCTCATCCTTAACATTTAGACGAGAACCATTTCCACTGGTTTGTCCAGAAGAACCGAATAGCCGCAGTATCCAGCCACCGCCATGGAATTAGCACCCCAGTATTTCTTTGATGCAGCTGTGTAGTGGATTATGGACTGATAGGAGTGGATTTGGTCGCCCGACGTGTCCCCTTCGATGGAGCAAACAAACGAACTTGCAGTGGAGGAGGAATCGCGAAACCCCTGTTCCTACAAGCGGATTCCACGGGTATAATGCTCCGTAGCTGCTTTCATCAGGACTGTTTCTTGCGGATCTCGGCCACTTGGCTGGAGAAGGCACGCGGTACGACCAAGATAACCGTTTATTAATGTATCGTGGACCGTGACTCTGTGTCTGTGACAGCCCCCCACCAA